GATTGGTTAATTATCACGGGTGATCACATGTAGATCCATAAAAATTAGCCAATCATATGAATTTCTTCCTATGAGGTGGTTAATGCAATTATCAGGTAATGTCGGATCAATATATCAAAAAAAAAAAAGGGTAGATATAATAATGAACCAAAAATTAATATCTTCACATGGATTAACTTATTTTCCATTAAGAAAGGAATGAATAATAGTCTTGTGGTTCATAAGTTTTGTTATTCATCATAGTTTTCGATTTCGTCATTCAGAAATTGCTTAATGAAGGTTCGTCATTAGTCAGTGACAAAAGTTCCGTCATTCATCATTCGTCAAACATTATTAATATTTATGTATTTGTATTGTGCCATAAAAATGTCGAATTTTTGAAAAAATCGCATTTTTTAATCATTTCTTACATTTATGATGCCAAAATGCTATATTATATAGAATTTATAATTTGTCATGAGTTCCGTCGTTCGTCATTTCGTCAACTCGAAGTTACTTGACGAATTGGTTTCACATTCGTCAACTCAAAGTTACTTGACGAATTGGTTTCGCATTCGTCAACTCGAAGTTACTTGACGAATTGGTTTCACATTCGTCAACTCGAAGTTACTTGACGAATTGGTTTCGCATTCGTAAACTCGAAGTTACTGACGAATTGGTTTCACATTCGACAACTCGAAGTTACTTGACAAATTGGTTTCACGTTCAGTTACCTGACGAATTGGTCATTCGTCAGGCATCATCTGGTTTGAATATTCAGTTTTAAGTGGGGAAAGGAATTAAAGTTTTAAGTTTCTGAATAAAATTATAATTTTAAGGTAGAATTATTTCAAATCTACTTAAGTTTCGTTCCAATTTCTGCACTTACAATATATAACGGATTTCTTTATTAAAAAATTGTATTACTAAATTAAATAATGATTCACGAGATATATGTGACGTGATAATTGCTTCTGTTATATCGATATGGGTTGCACATTTTAGGAGTCATTCCTACACAAAGAAAGTTTAACATAGTTTCTACCTTCAAGAGCCACTCTCGCCTTTGTCAACTTCTGTTAGGAGTTTTATTGTTTGCCAGGTTTTCACACTTTGCCAATTTTTGTAATTTAAAATCCTAAATGATTAAGTCGAACAGCAAAGAATTAACAACTTGTTCTGCAAACAATAATAAAAATATCTATTATTTTTCTAAAAATTGATATCCTCATTCTCGTAACACAAGATTTCAACTATCATTTATCCACTTAAGGTTGCCTAGTCACATAAGCTTACTAAGAATTTTCTTATCCGACTGATAAACCAAACAAAATTCGGATATTGCTTTCTTCGGATTGTGGCGTATAAATATTTTGTGGCTTGTATCGTAATTGCGCTTGTTTAACATTCTTGTGAATGGAAGATTTAATACCGATATTGTGTACGTATGTACGTACAAGTTTTCTATTTTTATGACCGTTGCGTAAAATTTTCGGTACTGTGCTACTTTTATGGAATAAATTGTGGCGAATTGTGGCTGCACAAAATGTGACACAAATTTTGTGGCGTTTTGTTGCTTTATGACGTTTGAGTGTAATACAAATCCAAAAGGAATAATTAGAGACCGTAAAAATAAATTATCACTTGTTATATGTAAAGTTTAATTAATGCCCAAGTTCGATTTAAATAGTAATGTTTTCGTTACGTAGACCCCAAATTAATCAATCATGATTGGGAATTTTTTTGTTAAAAATGACATGTTTAATTATGGATTTAGGAAATTAATTCAAAATAGTTGAAAACCCTTTTGGTATAAAAAGTTAATTTCTTAAAAATTTATTTCCATATTTACTTTATGCATTATTCAACTGATCATTTAGGGGCAAAACCGATCGTCCACTATCTGAAAATATCCAGAAATATCTGACCATTTTTAAAAAACGGTGATAGTACTTTCTTTTTTTAGCTTAGCATAGTTTTTCTATTTATTTCCTTTTTGTCACATATTGTACCAAAAAGCTCTTTGTTGGGTGTATAATACGTCAGTCCAATCGGCCGATATGATTTTGTTTTTTCTTTCGCACGTGTTTAAAACAAAATCCAGACCTGTACTAGTTTTTTTTTCAGGAGTTCGTATTACCAAAACAAATATAAAGTTTACAAAGCTGTAAGTTAACGTCATACTAGTATCACCATGATTGTCAATTTGAACTAAATCCGAAATTAGCGACGGATTAACCGAACAATATCAAATCAAGAACGATAATGCAGATGTAAAAGGTATACGGAGATTGATGAAATATCTTTCTTTTTTACTAGAATATCAATTACAATTTTGTTCAGATATATTTAAGGCCCAGATTCATTGCAACAATAAACAAATAATTTATCAAAATTTGGTGTAAAAAAGTTTGTCTAGATATAATAAAATTGTAGATAATTCCATGTAACAACAAATAATTAGTAATTTAGTATTTAAGCTTTTTTTGTAATTTGGTAGCATAAAATTTGTTTGTTTTGTTAATTATGGTTTCGTCATACTTCACTAAAAATAGCTAGTGGCACCTTAATTTTGAATATAAGTACATTGATTTTTCTCTAGTTTTTGTTGACAAGAGTTTTTGAATTTTTATTTTATAAAGCTATTTTAATTAAATTCTTTATCACCTAAAACTTCGTATAAACTTATTTATATCAGCAGACTCCCTTAATTTGATATTAATTATTGTATAAACTTAGATGCAATAAAACTACCCGATTCCCAATTGTATGCTTTAGATTATTCGGTATGTATTTCGAACAACATGGTTTGAACAGAATCAGCAGGCATGGCCAATTACTATTTCGCATATACTTATTTTATAACTTAATCTTCTCAGCATTATAATCAACCACTTTGAAACATGGACATAATGTGCAATAGACTTCGGCAAAGAGCTCACGTTACCAATGCATGTACAAATTGCAAAAAGAGACGAAAAAAATGTTCCGGTACACGCCCTTGTGCAAATTGTAAAAAAAGAAAACTTGAATGTGTCTTTATTAAGCCTAATGAAAGACGTGGACGTAAACCAAGACCAAGAGTTTCGACTGATTGTGGTGAATTTAGTTATTTCAATCATGAACTGTCTATGTTGTCTACACTTACTACTCCACAAACCTCTACTACCATCTCACCGGATGATCCCTCAACTACCATTACGCATACTGTTTCAACCTTTAATGAATTATCAACTCACTCTGGATTTCCAAATGTGTGTTCTTCTTCTCTCTCACTTTATTTGTTATTTAATAACTTCTTTATATTTACTGTCTTCTAATTCATAGACACCGGTAAACGAACAAAACCATGCCACTTCAGCAAATAATAATTATTCTCCTATTAGTTTTGCTTCGAATCAAGAAATTTCTGCATACATTAATAATAATTATTTTTCAGTACCAGATGTTGATTATTCATTTTCTTTTACAACTTCAAATCAAATAATTTCAATAAACAATGTACAAGAGACTAATGAATTATCTCATGAACATTACCAATTTCCTAATTTTTTACCATCAGAAACTTGTGAACATCATATCACAAGCGATTCTATGTCTTTAATTTCCCATGTTGATTCTTTACATTTAAAAACTTGTGAATATGACTTTATGAATGATTCTCTATCTCTTTTTGAGACCAATATGATTTGTCCGCAATTTCCAACTTTACAGTTTGATCCTTTACCCTTGGATTCTTTTACGAGTGATCATTGCTAATTAAATTCATTCATCAACTTTACAATTCGAAATATTAGAATATACAACTAGTGTAAACTTCTAGATTTTGTTTTTCATTAAGTATATTTATATTATTATTTTATATTTATATGGTTTTATGATTTATTTTTATTAAAAACGTTTATTAAAAATGTCTCTATATATATATTTATATAGTAATTATTTAATGAATGTTTCATTATTTTGTTAATAAAACTTTGTCATTCTGAAAACCATGAATATATTGGCCCATTGATTATTTTTAGGGGAAAATACAAAAAAGGGCCCAAAATTTAAAATAATTACAAATAAGGACCCAAAAA